TTTGCAACTCTCAAAAATCCCTTGTATATCTCCATAAATCTGAAGAGTTGCAAAATGCAGTCCCTTCCTCAAAGTAAGGGGTCTGTCATGTGAGACCAAGGTGTCTCTGGGTGAGATCAGGCTTTAGATGAGGGAGAAAGCCAGTGTTGCTGATACCAAGGTGCTGCATGTCAGTGCTTCCCTTGGATTTGAATCTGAAAATACGTGTTCAGCTCTTCTGAAAAAACTGACTAGTCGCGTATGCTGCTTAGACTAGTTTGGGAATTTTGCACAGAGTTTTTCAGGCCAGAGGCTGTCTCTGTAGGCTTGTACCGCACCTAGAAGAACGGGGTTCAGCATGCTAAAAACATGCAACTGGTTTTTTTTTTGAACATCAAATGTATTAACAGTTGCATTCCTCAGCATACTTGTATTTATGGATAAAATGTACAGTTCACCTGTATTGTATTAAATATATATAGATATGATAACCTGATATTTTTCTTAAGCTAAATGCCATACACATAAGCTTTTTTGTCTTCTGTTTTGCATACCTTCAAGGTGTTTTTGTTAAAAACGAGTTCTCATTAAGCAAAACTACATGATCTCAGATTAAGCCCAAGACAATTTTACATTGCAAAGGACATTTTAAAATTCTATTTAAAAAATTGCTCAGAATATTTTTTAAATACAGCATACTGCTTGGCACTGTTTCCTAGATGTTTGCCCATTACAATTCAGGGTATAATGAAATGCAAAGAGACAGTTAGTCTGTCCCCACAGTCTCGATTCCAGCTGTCCTTTTTTTTTTTTTTTTTTTTTTTACTTTTTTTTAAAAACAAATCAGGGCATATTTCATTTTGGCTTTAAATGATGAACACAGTGGATGGAGAGGGGTAATTTTGTGGAAGTGGAACATGAACTCGTGGAATTCTCAGTAACGGTACAGTGGGGTGGGTTTTGTATACCTGCTGATAGGAGTATTTACAGTGTCAAATGCCAGGTTGTATAAAGCAGCAGCACCCAAAGGCAAAGGGGAGCCTGAAGAAGAGTTCAGCCTTACGGCTGGAAATTGCTGACAGAGAGTTGGCAGAGCTATCTTCAAATGAGCTGCTACCTTGCAAAGGCAGTTCAGAAACACAATCAATGAGTATGCCTTGAATTCTGTGTTGTGGTGCCTGCATAGCTTCCTGTACTTGGGTAGCTTATTTAAAGCCACTTTGGTTATGACTGTGCTATACAGAGGTTTGCAGTGTAGTTACATTCTAATCTTGGTTGATTTAGCACCCTTTTCTCCTCTGGAATTTGCAGTTGGCTGTGCTTTTTTACATCTTAATCAGGTTGCACGGATACATGAACCGAAAGAATATGAAGCTTCCCATTACTACTGTAAAGATGACAATAATAACAGGGAAAAAAAATTCCTTGCTAAGTAGCTCAATAACTGTTTTAAAGGGTTTTGGTTTGTTTTGATCTTTCAATGGCTGATGAAAAAAAAAAAAAGCCTAAGGTATTTGGTAGTGATCATTGTGCTCATAGTGAAAACCCACTCTACTGTAAAACAAATTCTGCTATGCTGCACAATTCTGTTAATATTTCAACTCGTAAATAGAAGTTGGGCTGAGTACTTAAGGTAAAAATCATTTACAGAAATAACACTGCTTCCGCAAGGTGATCCAAGAGGAATCTTTCTAGATCATAATGCTCATTGTGCCTTTGGTTACCTTTTGGTAAATGCACAGATTCTGGTGAACACTGGGTTGAGCTTGTCTCTAAACGCAGAATCAGTGGGATTGGCTTAAGAATGGCTTGAAACCAGAAATATTGTTAAAGGTTTAAATATGTTGGTGGCCTCTGTCTAAAAATCACAATCGTGATTCAGTGTTTCCAAGTCTGTCTTGATTGCTTTATAAAAAACACATGCAATAAAAAGAAAAATGCTTTAGGTGGAAAAGGTGGGGATGTTAATATTTGACATACTAATGGATAATGTAGTGTTTGAGATCAAATCCAGGAAGTCTTCCAAGAAACTTGAAGCCAAATCCATATTATTCCCATGTACTTTTCCCCCTGAAGCTAATTAATGTTTTCAAATGCAGCCGTGTGAGGTCATGTGTTCCTTTTTTAACCATATTAGAAAAAAAAAATCTTTAATTTCTTCATTTTAATATTAAATATCACTCTGGATATTTTTTCCTGGATTTTGTTTATTTAATAATTGAAAATTTTCTATCCTGATCTGTATATGGCATAGGAACATGGAAGAATCATTAGAGGCAGGAATGGTAATAGGAAGATTGAAGTAAATGTGTCTCAGCAGAAGGCTGAGAGGAGAAGGCTCAGCGAAAAGCAGAATTTTCACCAGAAAATTCTCCAGAAAGTGGCCCAGATGGAGAGAAAGAGGGGCTTTCTTCCATGACTTGTCAGGAAGCCTGCTGTATAGAAGGTGAGGGTGTTTGCAATATGCAGTGGTATATTGGTAGTGTTTTGTCGCCAGAGCTATGGTTCTCCAGCCTGTGAGATAGCAGCTGCCGTATTTTTATCTGGAATTGCCAAGGCAGAGCTCTGCAGGCACCTACAGTGTAGTGCTTGCGTAGTCAGTTGTTGAATATAAATAGTTTGTGTGTACCCGGTAAGTCCAGTGCTTACAGGAAGCATATGACTGATCCTACGCAAAATACAGAGGTTGTAGGTGGATGTAAAGCATATCCTTTGAGTGCCTTCCAAAAGTGTCAGACCAAGACAGAGATATTCATTGATTGTATACTGCATGTGTTACAGCCTGTGCTTACAAAAATGCTTCGGACTTGCTTTGTGTACTTGTTGCAGTTGGTTGATGTGCATATAGTGCACGTGTCTGGGATGTCCTGGTGTAGAGCAGCTTGCTTGGAGTTCTGCTGTTGTAGCCTGATGGAGCTGCTGTTCCAGAAGTAGAGGGCAAGTAAAATCTGGGAAACATCTTTGGGAAGACTCAGACATATGGCAGCCTTATGCAGGATCCTCTTAGGTTGTTTACAGCTGCAGGAAATAAAAAGCCAAAATGGAGCCTGTCAGGTTATGATACTGCCAGCAGTGCAGTGCTTGCCTGGTGCTTTCTGGTTATGGGCCGGCAAAGAGGAAAGACTGTTGGCGTCAGAGAAAGGAGTGACATTGGAGAATACACCCCAAAATTTCATGGGGAAGGAGAGAATCAATTACAACCAGTAATTAACCACAGTTGATGTGTGTCTTCATTCCTGAAATGCTCCTTTATATCCCAAGAAGTGGATTCTAGATTTGCAGGCTTGGTAGCTGCTCTAAGTCCTTAGTTCTGTAATCCTTCTTCTGCTTCAGAACAGAGGCCTGCTGTTTAAAAGGGGATTAAAACCATACTGGTGCTTCTAGTGTCCTTGACACAGGGTTTTCAGCTTTTTTAATTTTTCTTAAAATAGGCCTCAGTTAAAGCCTGCTCCTTTTCTCCCAGCTCCCCAGCAGAAAACAGATAATAGTGCAGTGCAAAGGCCCATGTATGCAGTGGGTTGTACAAGTGTGACAGTAAACCCTTGCACTGCTTGTTCAAAAAGATGTTCTCTCTGGTAATCTAAAGTGTTGGTTTCAAAGCCTCTTGTTGCCCAGACCATTACGTTGGATCGTGGCACATTGAATGCTAGGCAGTCCAGAGAATGTGGTGACTTCAAGTGTATGGTGTAAGAGAAGACAACAAACAACTGGTTTTGGTGATGAGGGAAATGGCACGCAACAGGATCTCTTTGAACGTAGGGATACTTGTGCACCACTTCACAGTGGTCTTGTGGATACAATTTGATAACTACTCCTTGCAAGACTACAGAGAAAATGGATCTACAGGAGTAGACAGTTAAGACTGCTCAGTAGCAACCGTGAAGCAGGAGTAGAATGTTATATGCCAGGCTTAGTTTACAGATCTGTTGTCTTGGATTGGTTGAGTGTTGTGTACATTAGATTGAATCAGTTATTGGCTCTGGATGGTAGTTTTACAATGATGATTCAGCATTAGTATTGTCTTCCCTTATAAAGGAAAACAGTTTGCTTCCTGCCTCTTTCTTCAGAAATTCAGCTGTTAACTGTAAATGATTGGAATTAGCTGTTTCCTAATGGTTGTTTAGAGTGCACATAGCCATTGAATTACTTTCTGCTACAAACCCAAGTAATTTCCTAATTAGCACCTTAAAGGATCACCTTTAATGCTGCCTTCTGCAGCTTTTCTACTTAAATGTCTCCTTTTTTCATGTCTTTCCTTCATCTTAGCCTTTCTTTATTCTTCTCCAGCTGCCAGCTATTTCCATCTGCCCCTTTGCTGATTCATTATTCATCACATGAACTGTTCTATTTGTCCTTTGGAAGAAGAGAAAAAGACAAACTCCTTCTTGACAGTCACTCTTTTCTTGATTTCCATTTCAACTTTCTCTGTTTATTTTTTTCATTTGCTATTTCTATTCAGTAGCCCTTAATCTATAATTTGTTCCCCTGTGATCATGCTGATTGGCATCTGTTGCTTTCCTGTGCTGGGGAAGGAGGCAGAAAGGATGTGCTTAGCAGAAAGAGATGGCTTCTTGTAGGAGCCAAGGGAGTACCATCCTGCTGCTCCAATGTTGTAAGATCTGGTATGGAGATAGACCAGAAGAACTCTTATCTCTGTGTTTCCATGAACAGCACAATGTTTCAGCCAACCTGTAGCAGCCATGGCATTTAGTTACTCATTAAAACAACAAGGGGACAATGTTCAGTAGATAGGATTTGATCCGTGTGTTTCGTTGTGATGGATGTGTCTGTTTGGCTATGCTTTGTGTCTCTTCTGGCTCATAAGCTGTTGAATGTAGTATTTTCTATTGTTAGCAATAAGACTGGCAGTTACAGTATCACTTTCTGCATGTTGCTACAAGGGTTAATAAAATCTATCTTTTAGTTTTAAAATACAGTTGCTTTTCTGTTTTGTGGGGATAGCATGTCTGTCCCAGATAACGTTGCTTTAAAATATATATGGTTTTTGTTTGCAATTCTAGGAATGCTTTAAGGGAAGCTGGGCCACTCACAAGTTATTACACAAGAAAGCAAGTAAGTACATTTTTTTTTTTTTAATCCGTTTTAATATTGGTTTGAATTTTTGTCCTCTGCAGCCAGCACTAGGTGGCCCTGCTTGAGCAGGGGGTTGGACCAGATGACCTGCAGAGGTCCCTTCCAACCTCAACTCTTCTGTCTTTCTTTTTGTGTCTAAGAACAGTATAGATGTTTTTCAAGATATTTAGCACTGGATTACACATGTATGAAATTCTGTCCAATCCCTGGTAATCTACAGATCTATGTAAAATTTCAGAGGCAGCGATACAGAAATCTCAGTTTCTGTTACTGTTTCTATTTGTATGAAGTATTCCTTGAGCCACATTGCCGGGTATATGGACAGAGAAAGAGAAATGCTGAAATACAGGGCAAGGAGAATAATAAACCATTATTGTAAGGCATTGCCAGGCTTGTTCCTTTATAGCATTTTGATATTTGATGTAGTAAAAGGCAGTAAAGTAGGAAAGGTTCTTGTGAGTCTTTGTGATTAGACACTTGCTGGAATGCAGGCAAGCCAGTCAGAGTGCAGCTGTTCTGTACATTTTGGGCGTACCACTTTGGTGCAGAAAAAAAAGGAAAATGCTTTTGTGCAGTGCTGCAGCCATTGATAGGAGGTTGTATCATAGGATTTTGCTGAGTTTAGTTGAAGGTTATAAGAGTATCTGTATGCCTTAGTTACAGCTGGTGGCTCTGGTACAGAAATACTAGTAGACCCGTAGATTCTCGCTTACCTGAGTAGTAAAGATAATCCATGAGTTTAAAACCAAATAAACAAAAAGAGCAGACCCCAGTTCTGTCCCCCTTGCCTCCTCCCCCTGCCCATCTTCATCAAGCCCTGCTTAAAAGGGAGGTAGGATTAAAAAGTAAGTGGCATGGCAGAAATTCAAATCCTCAAGTAATTTACCTCCTCCGTTCCTGAAACCAAGTAAAACTCCTTTCTCCAAAGTGTTTCATGGTTAATAGGTTGGAGTAGCACAGACAATTACAAATGTTTTCCTTCTTTCTACCTTCCCAGTGTAGGGGTCTCACAGTTCACACTTGCATTCTCTATCCTGTTACTTTGTACCTACATGGGTATGAAACTGTCTTTGTTAGTAGTTCTAGTAATCCTTTGGTGCAGTCTTCTAATGCTGTTGTTTATCTGACAGCAAATTCATTTATGGTTCCACTAAATCCGTGATCTTGTTGGCTTCCTGGATAACTGCTGAGCCCGAGCTGAGCTGGCTTGGTTCTGATAGCTCTCAAGACGTCAATGCAACAACCTACTGAAGCATCTCAAGGGAATCCAAAATACCGCTTTGTTAAAACTTTGGATTTTTGAATTACTGTTTCTCAGTGGTTCATCTAAACTGAATGTCATGTGAGCAGATGGCTCAGATGTCAGCCACAGAGACTCTGAGGAATTCGTGCTAGGGCTTCCTATGGCAGACCTTTTGCCATCTCTTCATTCTTGAGAGATATAAAAAGAGAAAACAAACTTAAGTTATCAGGTTATGAGTTAAAGATTAATGCTACCATGCTCGCTCTTAACCCTTGCCTCCTCTTTCTGAGTAAATACTTTTCCTTTTGGTAATGCTCACGATCTACTTGCTTCAATCCTTTGTGTAAACACCTTCAACCTGCCCTGTTAGGACTGCGTTATTTGTGAATGAAGGCAGTCACTGGACCACATCAGACTTGAATTTCACGAAGCTGAGAGTGCTGGGAACCTCCAGCAGATTGGGACTGTCTTGTAAGGTGCACACACTGCCTGTCCTGAAATGCAGCAGTGGCAGCACCTGCACTCTCCATCAGATCTGGAGGGGTAGCAGGCTTCATACATTGAAACTTAACAGTTGTATACCCTCCTTCCCACCCCAAGTCATTTCTGTCACAGAAATCAGAAAAGGAACATTCCTCCACAGTGCAAGAATGTTAATTGAAGAAAAGCAGAAATAATGTGTTTTTTTTTTTTTTTCCCAAGAATTAAAACAAGCACAGAACTATGTTTTAGAACAACAAATGAAGATCAACTTAAATGATTACTGCACTTAATTTGTACATTCAGTACTGCTGTCCTGACATTCCCTAGTTTGCTATTGAATAAAGACAGTCGGCAGGATGTGAATTTTGAATGTGAAAAACTTAAGGGCAGTACAAAATGGTAACTGCTACTTACGCTTTTGTATATTAGCATCTAAAATGCCAGAAGGAGTCAAATCTAGACTTATGTACTTGTAACTCGCTTTCTGGAGCTACAGTTCTTATTCTTGGACTGATTTTGCTGCTACAATTTCTTTTTTCTTTTTTTTTTTTTTTTTTTGTCTTTTCAGAAGATGAAAAAGCTAAGCGTGAAGTTTCCTCGTGGACTCTGGAAGGTGACGTTAACACGAATCCCTGGTCTGGTTATCGATATACTGGTAAACTCAGGCCACACTATCCACTGGTAAGCAATAGGTGCTGCGCTATATTCCAGCATTGCTATGTTCTGTAGCAACTAATGGATCAGTCCTGACCTGATTACCTTCCACATTTTAGCTGAGAGAGGAAAGCTTCTTTTACAATCTGAACCTGATGGCAAGGACATGTATGACTGTATCTTTACTGTGGTTCATTTTGATTTAACTTGATCTGTCTCTTCGTATATTTAAAATTAGTGAAATGCCTGTGAAGTAACATGCATCAGTAACAGACTTAAACTCATACCTTTTGGCTGTACATTTTGAGATTTGTTCTGCAAAAAGCTGCTGCTAGTTCAGATGATGTCTTGTCGTAGCTGTTTACTGTTCTCACCAATAAAGGAGCAGTCTGTTTCAGAAGAAACTCAGGTGAATTAATTTAGAATTTAAATAAATGGTTTTATAGTCTTTTATGTAAATGGTTTGAAATAACCTGGTGAGTAGGCTGGTGAACAGCTCTGCTGAAGGAACAGAGGTTGTAGTAATCTCCAGCACTGGAATGAGGTCAGTAACATCTTCAGCTGTGAAAGGTGGGTTTAGAAGATGACCTCAGTATAGCTGTATTTTTTTAATTGGTACAAGTTTGTACGTGGAATAAGCCAATTTTTTTTACAGGAGTAATGGCACTTTATTTACATGTGTCTTTTCTAATTTACCTGTGCCAGAAATGCTGCCCGTGTGGCATCCTCTCTATAGTCTTCTCCATCTGTTACAGGCTCATCAGAGAACAGATTAACAGAGCCTGAGCCCATGTGTGTTTGTTAGTGTGGTTGGAGAAAGGGTGTTTCGGCTATGTCATCGGCCAAGTAATTTAGTAGTGTTATCACTGAACGTTTGCTTTTTTGTCTTCTGGCTGCTGTAGGATTGATGCAAATGAAACTATAATAAAAAGTGCTGATGACTAGGATGATGGTTAGAAATAACAATCTTGCTAGTAGATACTAATAACCAAGAGAGGGGAAGGATTTATTTGGAACCAGTGTATTAGCAGTCTGGAAAGTAGCATAATAAACACTACAATATAACAGGGATAATATGTTATAAAACTAATTTAATTTGCTTGACACATAAAAGTTGGATTTTTACAAAGCTGTGAAGTTGGCTATTACAGGTTGTAGCATATGAAAGTAATAAAGAGTAACAGGAGAATCTTTGAGAAATGAAAACTGGAACTGTTTTGGAGTGTTTGCATACTTCACAACTTTTTCAAAGTGGAATTAGACGTATTTCACTGTATTTAATTTTGCTGCAGGAGTCTTTGTTTTTGTGACTATATTAAGTATTCTTGCAACCTAACCAGCTTTGACTATGATTTATTTAGACGCCAACAAGACCTGTGCCAAGTTATATTCAGAGACCAGATTATGCCGATCACCCGCTAGGTAACTTGAAACAAATCACAATTATGGAGTGTTATGTTTGTTTTCTATTTTTCTTTTAATTGAGAAAGCATTTAAACATGAAGGAGATACTGGAGAAGGGAACCTCTTTGTTTATCTGTTCTGCTCGCTCTACCTCTTCTTCCCCCACATTAACTTACTGTTATGAGTATTTTTTTAAAAGTCCAAAGTTTGTAATGTGTCATCTTTCAAAGGTGTTCAGGGAAGAAAAGAAAAACAAACCATGCAAGTCCTAGTCCTGTGGTTAACTTCATAACAAACAGCAATAAGTTGGCTGTCACAGGTGAATTCTGCTAAGCCATTCTCAGCAACATCCATGTACCTGTTGGAAATGTGCTATAAAATAACCAAACAAAACTGCAGGGAGCAACCCCCAAAAGAAAACTGATATATGAGTTCCAATTATTTCTGGACACAGGGGGAATACGGTCAAAATCACTTGCATATTGGTTTGTTTTGGTATTTTCCCCTTTTTATGTTGGTATTGGTGCTTTGCATCTTCCAAAAAAGCTTCTATAAAGTCTGTTAGAATAATTTTTAAATCTTCAGCCGTTCTTTAGTTATTCTTTACAGAATGTAAATATTTAAACCACACAAAATACTGTCTTTTAGGGGGTCGGTCAGTTATACAACTGAGCTTGCCCAGAATTTGTTTGGAAGAATTTACATGTTTTAATCAGCTGATTATTGCAATATATAACTAGAGATATTCACAAGCTTATATAACCCTTTATGGCTCTTTTAGAATATTATTTATTACTACTTATTGTTTCCAAAGCAGCTAGGAAAAAAAAAAAAAAATTATATGAATAAAATCATTTCCTTTTTGAAGTCTGATTTTTTTGAGGTTGTGTTTTGACTAACTGGGCATGATGGTTTTATGCAGTAAGTGAGCGGGCATCCTGAGCACGTGTGGGCATTACAATATTGTGGAAGGCTTATGAATTCAAATTAATCTGGGTAATTATGATAATGGTATGACTTGGTGGGTTTGTTACTTTAGTCTGTGTCGAGAAAGTATGTATGTTTATTGCCATTGGTAAGCTAAGTAAGGTCCTTGATTGGACATGTGTAGCAATCCCTCCTCTATATAACATGGTTTTTTTCTTTCCTTTTTTTTTCTCCTCCCCCTTTTTTTCTTTTCAGGAATGTCTGAATCGGAACAGGCTTTAAAAGGAACCTCTCAAATAAAAATACTCTCATCTGAGGATATAGAAGGGATGCGAGTAGTGTGTAGGGTAAGGGGGTTTTGGTTTTCATGACGAAATGCCTCTGTTCTTTAAAAATCAATAGTGATTTCACAAGTTTGTGACAGCACATTTCAGAGTAAAAACTTTCAAACCACTTTTGAGCACTGAAAAGTAGTTTGTGAAATTTGATATTTGCTTGCTTTTTCTTTCCTTTTGGCTCCCAATTCACAGTAAACTATCGTGCAAGCAGGAACATGACTTTTATGTGTTTTCTGGCTTTGTTGGTACTAGTGAGATAATCTGTCGCTGAGACGTTGTTACCATTAAGAATATATTTTATAGTGTGTAAATGACAACAGAACTTTTTCCTCTCCTAGAGTTAGTACTAAGTAGAAACTAAAAAGCAAAAGCAAAATAGAGTCCCATCACTAAAAATTTTTGAAAAAGAGCTGTTCAGTTGTAATCACTTCTTGTGCATTAAGTCAGACTTTTCAATGTATTTAGGTAGTTCGATTTAAGTTTATGGTATTCAGGGAAATTGTGGTCCAGATCTTAATTGAAGTATTTTCAGATCTCACAGAGGTGGCTCAGTAATATAACCTGTAGACATCTTGAAGTCTTTTCAGAGCCCAGGTCTATGCTGTTTTGCTAGCAATCTCAGTGTAGCTGTAGAAAATGGGTTGCTAATCTTCTAGGTCTTCCTGGTCTTATTTTAAATCAGTACTTTTGTTTCGTTTGCAGCTTGCTAGGGAAGTATTGGATGTTGCTGCCATGATGGTGAAAGCAGGCGTAACTACTGAAGAAATTGATCATGCTGTCCATTTAGTAAGGTTTTTTAATTGTTCTTCTGGTGTTCACAAGTGCTTTCTTCTATTTTTGAATGATTCTTATGTGGTTTTTTGGTTGTTGCATGAATTTCTTTTCTTTATTTTGAACCATTTTCCAGTTTGAAGCTAGTGGGTAGTGCAGATGTTAGAAATACGTCACAGTGCAATGGTGGATTCAAAATGAGTTAGGAACTCCTGGGCCTCTCTCTGTACCGGCTCCTTACGTGATTTCCAGCTTCAGATTCCCTCTTAAGTTTGTTCACCTGTTTTCTCAGTTAGTGTCATATCATTTTCTTTCTTCTAAAATCTTTTTGCTCCACTGATACCATTATGTAAAGAACACCATATGTAGGCCATAGACTTTTTGTGCTCTGTGTTGTTGGTTTAGACATACAGAGGAGAAAGTTTAATTATTTATGACTGGGAATCAGAACTGAGGAGCCTGAGAAAGAATTCAAACAAGATGCAGTCAGGCCAACTGAAGCTGCTATCCAGCAAAGTGTTTGAAATACATGTTCACCTATTTTCCTGGCTTAACAATTCATAGATACTTGACTTGTGTAATTTTTATTTTTCTTTGCTGTCTTTTCTGTAAGGCATGTAAACTGATAATTGAGGATACTTGTGTGCACTGTGCAGAAGGTAACGATTTTGTTATAGTTAAGTTTGTTAGAAAGCTTTCTGGTTGCTGTTCTTTTTATCTGCATTTTCAGCTGTTGAGCCGAGATTGTAAGGAACTTATTCTGGTTTTTGATGAGGCCAGAGGTTTCTGTTGAACTGCATTGAACACTGAATTATTTGCTTATGCATAATGTCTAATACGAACAACTAGTAGTTAACATGATGTTATCCCTCCTCAGCAGTTTTTGGAAACTTGCATGGCAGCTTGTTGATACTGACTGATAGCCCTAATTGGTATTTTGCAGTTTTTAAAAAAGTATTCTTTTTTTAAAATTAAAAAAGTTAACACAGTATTATTTTTCCAGAATTGCTCAGTACGTCATGTAGTGTGTATGTGTATGTACCTGTAAGTATATATAAAATGTATGTGTCAATTTTGCAAAAATAAAAAAAAAGGTTATTGGAGTGAGTGCAAAGGAAGCACTTAAGGTTTTAAAGCTAGGGCTGAAAGAGTGGTGCTAAATGTTATTTTGTCTAGGCTGTATGAATTGCAAAAATACTTAGTCTTAGACCAGGTGCTTAAAAACAGTAATTGAAAATGGCTGGTTTTTAAACTGAATAAATATTGCCATGATTTGTTTTAAACCTGAATATTTCAGAATTGGTAGTTGAACATAAAAATAGTAGAAACAAAATTAAAGTAGCTTTATTTTCTTCCTGGTAAGAAGTGCAAAGGCTAACAAAATGCTGTAATGCCAAAAAATGTTTGAAGAATCTTATTTTCAAGAGCCACTGCTTTTCAACCTATCATTCTTACTGCAAAGCTGTTGTGCATATAATTTTTTGTTTTTACAGAACTTACTAATGTAAAGTGTAAATTGTGTTTTCTAAATTAGGCTTGTATTGCAAGGAATTGCTATCCTTCCCCTCTGAATTATTATAATTTCCCTAAGTCGTGTTGTACCTCAGTGAATGAAGTGATCTGTCATGGAATTCCCGACAGGAGGCCGTTGCAGGAGGGAGATATTGTTAATGGTAAGTGCTACAAAAATTAACCTTCAATGTTTCTACCTTCTATGCGGTTAAACTGCGCAGTAAGGTGAGGTTTCACTAGCAGGCAACATGATTGGAACAGTTTCTTCAGAGAGCGTTTTGTTTTCATTTACCAATTAACCTCTGCTCTTGGTGTATTTAATTTCATGAGTTTATTTGATAAAATAAGTGCAAAAGTTTGGTCCACTTCAAGAGCTTTATAATTCTTCTACCCTGATCTGTGCATTAGTATGGTGCCCGAATATCCCACTTGTGGGCTAGGTTCCAGCAGTTCCAGACTGTATAAATAGTGAATAATGTCTATACTGAATTATTCAACTGGATTAGTTCTGTATAGATTCTTAATTAGATGGCTCTAGATCTTTAAGATTTTGCTATGGGCATGATGATTATGAAGGCTGTAAAGGCATTGTATAGGTCCATATTAAAAAACTCCTTTTTTTGAGCATCTTGCAGCCTAACAGTACCAGCTGCTTCTTGTTTGTGGTACTCAAGTTACTTACACCTTCTTGGGTGGTGGGGGATACTTTTTATAAATTACTTGACCATTTTTTGTTTTCTTGTTAATTTCTTCTTGGTTTGGCAGTAAAAATTAATGACATTTGTTTTGTACATACATTTGCACCTTTGTCTATTGCATTGGATTGCTTTTTTCTTATCTGTAAATATCCAAATAAATAAATACCCAGCATATCCTAAGATTTGGCCTGTCTCTAGAAGCAGGTTGGAAATCTTTTAGATTGTCAGATATTTGATATATATTAACATGCAATAATAGCTACTAAGTCTACGGCTCAGTGCTGTGGGTACCAGCCTTTTCAGAACAAGCCTCACGATTGCTTCCTCTTTCTAGGTCAGGTTTGGTCTGGCTGATAGCTCTGAGCTGTAGCGTACGTGTAACCATTTGGCCAATGCTCCTTTATCTTTCTTTGATTTCAAAGATGATACCTTTGCACAGCTCTCTCTTGTTGCCAGCTTTTCTGGCATTGCTGGAGTCCAAGCTAAGAAGTCCAGTTAAGCTTACTAGGTTGGTTTCATCTACACAGTGCCTTACCTCTCTACTATTTGCATGCCACGGCTTTACCTCAACACTAGAAAACACCTTTTGTAGGGGAGTTTAGGCATACCTTTGTTCACATCCCTGTCCTGACTGCGCTTGCCCGAGCTTTTAGCCTTCTGCTTTATTTTGTTGAGGAAGAGCTAGATTACTCTCGTAGCTGAGTAGGTCTTGTTACAAAATGGTCCAGGTTTTGTGGCTTGAACTTGCGTTCCCCGTGGGCTCAAAAGGCTTCCAAGTCTTGTAGGCTTCCCTTCGATAAGATAGTGGATCAAAAGCCTCTTCAAAAGAAGGCACAGAACAGGGTACAAAGGAGGAGGTAGAAAAAGTACTTCAGAGGGAATGTGCCCAGTGAGCAATAGAGGGAAGTGCCCATCTTTCTCTTTACTTAAAACTTTTTTAGCCTGCTGGAAACAAAATGTGGCCATGTCAGAGTCCAAAACAGGTTTTTAGACTCACAGGAAAATGTCATCCAGAAGTTACTGGCAGGTGATGTCTAGTCCAACCCCCTGCTCCGAGCAGGGCTTCATAACATTTTCTTACCACGCTGTTCCCTGGGAGCAGATTCTTAAACGAACCTGATCTCTCTGCAAAGTGAGATGTTCTGGCCAAATCTGGCAGTGCCAAGAGAAAGTCTTGTAATCACATGGCCTATAGAGATAGCCTCTTTGCAACAAGTAGTCTGGACGCTGTGCTAAGGAGCTCTGATACACAGTTCAGAGGACGTTTATCTGGATAAGTTATCAGGGTGCTGGTTTCTGTACAGTCCTGTTGTTACATTACCAGATATGTACACTGGTCAAAATGTTCCAGTAGTCCCACACCATCATGCAGTGAGTATAATATAACCCTGCACATGCATGGACCCACAACACGCAGTATTGTTTTTGTGTGGTGTTAATTTAATCTTTACACGTTTGCCAGCACTACAGATTTACTGTTGACACCAGTGGTTTTCCTATCGAGGTTGTACTGGTCTCTCTAAGCGGCTCATATACCATATTCTTAAAGTGTTATTGCTCAGTACAGTTTCCTTCATGGCTATTTACCTGTGCAGGGGTCTGTGTATGGATTTCTTCATCAATAGCAGTTCAATAACTATTTCAGTGGTTTTGGTACTCTAGCAGCTGTTAGACCTGACGGACTGCTGACAAAGTGTGTTAAACACAAAAGTACCTAATCTACCACAGGAAATCAGCTTGAGATACAAATCTAGAATATTTTGCATGTGTTTACTCTATATAATGATATACGATGGCAGGTTTTAATTTTTTACTCAGCTACTATGAGAGACAGAATACTAGAATTAGATGACAATTATGTCTAAACTGGTAGGGCTGTTCCCGTGTTTTGTAAAAGGACTATTTGTAACAAGCATCTTGTGTGGGTATTCCTAATATGTCTTTTTTTTTTTTTTTTTTTGGAATAAGTTAAGCTGAAAAAGATTTTTTTTTTCTCATTAAAACTACTTATGCTGCTGTTTTTCCAAGAATGAGTTATATCACTTTTAGTTTACAACCAACTTTATACACAAAGCAAATGAGGTTTTGCTGCAATGTAATTCTAAACTCTTACATGTTCTTCTAAACCTTGGTTGTTTAAGCATGCCCTTCTAATTCTTGCTATTTGCCTGAGACTGAATGTTTAAATTCTTTCATTTGAAAGAAAAAAGAAGTAGTTTTAAGTCATTTGGTGTATTTTTCTTAGTCAGGAATACTGTTGGAAAGTTGCTGTGTATTTAATGTTCAAGAAATTTTACGTTTTTGATTGGAAGCAATGGGTTTTGGCATTAACTGTTTTTGCAAAGGTGTGACTTGCTATTCTAAACATGCATAGAAATCACTGAAGTTAAAATATGGGTTAAAACACGATTACATGTGTTTTAAAATTTAATTTCCCCCTATTAGTGCTGGAATTAATTCTAAGAAAATATTTTAATTGGTGAAATCAACCATGGAACAAAGAGCTACGCTTTCCTGTTTTTTATATTTACCTAGAAAACAAATCATAAGCTTGCTGTGATTGTGTTGTATTGGTGTGGGGTTTTGCTCTTCCTTTTTTTTTTTTAATTATTAAATCCAACTGTTGACCAGTGAAACACTATCTTATTAATTAATTCTGTAGAATCTACAGGATAAACATGAGAGAATTGGCTCTGCTGCAAGAGTTTACATCTGGGATTCTTCCAAAGTAATCTTGCAACTTCTTAATTACAATACTGCATTTTTACGTGTGTGTGTTTGTCCTTTCACAAATCAAGAGACAAGAAGTGAGAAATACAGTGCTAATATTACAATATGTCTGGTATTCTTTGCAGTGGATATTACTGTCTATCGTAATGGCTACCATGGAGATCTGAACGAGACATTTTATGTTGGAGAAGTTGATGAGGGTGCAAGGAGGCTTGTCCAAACAACTTATGAGTGCCTAATGCAAGCCATCGATGCAGGTAAACCCTTTGGCTATGGCCTGAAGCATTGGGGGTTTGGTTCTCAAAGATGAGTGCTCATATTTGCTACTACCTGGGAACGACTTCTGTTGTAGAATACAGAAGTGTTAGTGTATGTCACCAGCAGATGATATATATTGTGTAATACAGTGATTCTTCAAATGGTATGGTTCCGTGGGTGGTGGTTGCAACTTTTATTTGAAATGTGGGTTGACAAGGAAAATGCACTTGATGCTGAGCTGATCCACATATGATGATATTTACATGGAAACAGCCTTTTCGGACTATAAGTTTGAGTAAGACATCCTTGATCTGAGTAGTTTAGAGAACATGAAGAACAAAATGTGTTTTGGAAAACCAAAGTACGGCTTACTACTTCTATGATTTGTGTGGTGTTGCACAATGAACCGATAAGGTAAAACACTGTTTGAACGCTTAAACATACCTCTTTACCCCTGCCAAACCTGATGGTTATTTTGTGAAGCTAATTACGAGCTCTTGATTTTCAGCTGTGGGAGTGTGCCAGAGAAGACAGATCCACATCCTTCAGTACCCACAGAGCTTTAATTACATTGCTTAGATATAATTCATGACAACGTCATTGAGACATACAATGAGATAGAAAGGTAGCTAGAGAATATCATCTTCAGCTTCATTCACAAAGGAATATACTAAGTTCTCTTAGACAAACAGAGAAAACAAAACAAAAATCTCCCAAGTCCCTGGAATATTTGTATTGTCTGTACCTTTTATAGCCTTCAGCATCTTAAAATCCCCAATAAAATTTACTCACTTCATGGCCTCTAAAGACTGAGGTTTAAGGTGCTGTGTATGAAGGCTTTAAACTTGCATTTAATCAAAAGTAAATGAAAAAAAAAATATATAATTAACTTGCTTTGGTTAATAATTTGGAGATAGCTAGCCAAGCTGAAAAGACAAAAATCCATATGAACAATGTCTTGTGTACCCATTGTGTGATCAAGAAAATACTGCAGAGTTGAGCTGTGAACTATTTATTGTGGAATTACTATTCTGAAATGACCACTTTGTTTTTCAGAGCTAAATCAGAATAATGTTTATTTTTGCTCCAGTACTGTATTTTTATAGCAAATGTTATATGTGTTGTCTCTTATCTTTCATACCCTGGCTTTGATGTATGAACTATGACAGAAATTCACCTTTGTTCATTATAATAAGATTTGAATTCTCAGAGTAACTTTTCTTTACCAACTTTTTAGATGCTGTAACAGGTTTTAATGGGTTTTAGGCATTCCCTGCTAGTAGGAGTTTTGGCAGCATCTCGGCTGTTTTTAAATCATCTTAGTTTTGTGATGTTGGACCAGCAGAGCTCTAACAACAAGAGTTGTATGAGAGAGAGAAGTGGAGGGACCTTGCTGCATTGAGATGAGTTGGTTGGCATTCTCAGACCTGAAGGAGATGGTACTACTTCACAACTATTTAGCATAAAACCCAACAGATTAACTTTCCTCTCTTCCCCACCATGTCTATTTTTGGTATTTTGGGAAAAGCATGCATGTTCCAGTAATCTAAATTTCTTGTTATTTTCTGTAAATTCAGCTTACTAATTTAAGTTGTGGTTGTTTACATTAGCAGAGACCTGAAATAAATGGCTTGCCTCAGGTGACTTTTAGCTATGAACTTTGCTTAAGATGGCTCCACATAGCCACACTTGGCATCTGGCTCCTTAAGGAATAGCATATATTCAGGGAGTTGTGAATGATCTTGAAATAGCATTTACATTCTTCTTTTCTTTTTATTGGCTCAAGGTTGCTTTTGGTATGCATCTTTGTTAGCTGACAGATGAGGCGCTGTTGCTTTTATGGTATTCTTACTCCCTTGTCCAAGGGTTCAAAGTGAATTTTTCACAGCATTTTCATCTGTTTCAAACTCTTAACTTTAAGTCTTCCTAAAAAGATTGTCAAAAAAGTTAGTCCTATGAACATTCTTATCTGCTGTAGTGTTGCCACTAAAAATCTTGTCCAAGATTAGAGATACCTGTTTGTCTCCCTTCCCCCCCACCCCAGCTTGGTCCTTCACATATAATAATTTTTCCTCTTTATTTGCGTGCACTTTTCACGTAGTAGTAGAAAGGTAAGTGTATATTAAGATACAGTTCATACATTCTTTGAAAGAAGTTACCAAGTACTGTGAAAGTCTTTTGTTGTCTTTAATTTCAAACTTCAACATCCCTTTGATATATGAGCACTTATAGCCACGAAAGGAAAAAAGTAGTGTTCTTGTGAAGTTTTCTTCTTTCTCTCTTATTTTTTCTTTTATGTGTGATTCATTCCTCCCTCTCTCATGTTATTGCACTCCCTTATGTACTTGGTGGATTAAGTGATCATAGGAGGTTGCATACAGAGATGATAGTCTGAGTGCTGTTTGATGGTTAGTTATGTTGAAAAAAGCTCTATGATTTGTGTCTTTTTAATTTTGCAGTAAAGCCTGGTGTTCGGTACAGAGAATTGGGAAACATTATTCAGAAACATGCTCAAGCAAATGGATTTTCAGTGGTTCGAAGCTACTGTGGACATGGAATCCATAAACTTTTCCATACGGCTCCTAATGTGCCACATTATGCCAGTGAGTATTCATTCCCTTTGGACTGACCCGTAGACAAGCAGTGGATTGCAATGAATGAACCCAATTTACTTCTTGCTTACGTTCTAATAAAGTAGCATGTTGCCTGACAGCCATCAAGTTAGCATTTTTGCACTTGTGAAATAATTTTTTTTTCTAAACTCTGGCCCATTACATGCTTTAGGAACGTAAATAAGGTGAATATATTATATACTGAGACAGTCTGTGCCTACAATAATTGTGTTAGCTCTCATCTGTACTGGGTAAGTGCTCAATGTTTTTGCCTGAATTCCCAGCTAATCCCTTAGACGTCCTCGCCTGACACAAGTGGGCAAATGTTTCTATCCTTAGAAGGTCTAAGCAAAAACTTACTGCCATTTCCAGATGTAAATAAAAGGCTTTGTGAATGCTATAGAGGCAAAGGAGAGAAGCTTAAGTGCTAGTGGACAACTAAGCATAAAATAAATGTCATGAAGCAGTGATAAACAGTTCACACGCAGTTAAGCTGCAAAGCTCCCCTGATAGGACACTTATTTCCTCAGACCTGACAGATGCCTCCATCTTCCCATCTCCTAATGAGCTTTAACACAGGTTATAGCTATAGATTATAATCTAGCAATCCCTGACTTTTCATGTTGTCTTTTCCCTAAGTTATTCTTTCAGAGAACAGAGAAAATCTATTAATCACAGGGTAGAAGTGTATCAATTCCTGATATTTACTTTTTGTTGTGCAAAATGAAGAAAACCTGGATTCTTTGGGGATGGAGGGCATTTTATACCTATTAAAATGCAGTCCAAGAAAAAGGAAACTTCCGTCTTTCCTGGGTGTGGGAACTTGGAACTTTTTTTTTAATTGAGCCAAAATGTCTGTTCCTAAAAAGGAAGATTTTTTTTTTCTGGTATTTTTAAAATACGGCTTTACAGCAAAAGCAAAGTGGAAAGACCTGGGGGACTTAAAGGCTCTTAGAGGAAAAAAAAAAAAAATGAAGCTGCTGCTTATTTCCGGCTTTCTGTGACAGGATTTTTAAAAACAAAAAGCTCATTTTATAAGCCTTTAAATTATTTAACAAAGTTGTGAAAACTGCAGGGAATAAAGGACAAAATTTGTTCAGATGCTGAAGACTAGAAACTTACATTTAAGTGCTGAGTGTAAGAAATACCAGCAGATGATGGAGATAGAACCAAGCCCCTTTAAGTAAAAGAAGAATGTTCTGGTTGTGTTCTGTCAGCTTTATGTCTGAGATTTTTAAAGCGTCTAGATGATTTAGACAATTTAATAAATTTACACAATTAGAGTAGACCGGGGGATGGGGGATCTGTATGTAAGAATTGATGCAAATTGTCTACAGCAGCAAAGTAGCTTGGAGCTAATAGTTCCTGTGCAGTACTGGAGTTTGTTCGAGCTCTCACGTGCTAGGCTGCGTCAGATCTAAGCTGCACTGTGGTTCAAGGTGAAACAGGGCAGAGGAAAAGGGGTGAAGCCTTTCTTCAATCAAACTACACTCCTAGAGATGTGCTGTGCGTCAGTTCATGTGCCCCCATGTAAACATTTTTGTTGTATATAACATTAAAAAGTTCCAGTATTACTGTTCTGAATGCTTTTGAAGTTCTCTGCCTTTTTATGTTAGCTGAAGAAATACAGCATTATCACCTATGACCCTGTTACCCAGAGTAATGAGTGGGGCAATGTGTCTTTTTGTAAATGGAATCACGGAATTACTTAACCACTATCATATTTTGACAATTTATTGGAGCTAATGGTTCAGTGGAAGCAAATTAAGAGGTTTCAAGCCTTCTCTGAGTATCTTAAGTGCTTCTTATGCGTATTGATTTTTTTAATGATGTTTTTCATCATAGAAGTCTGCAGAAATTTCTGTATTACGTTTGTTCAGTTGGAGAGAAAGACAGCAATTGATTTTAAGGTCCTTGAGTAAATATTGCAGTGTTGGAGGAGGAGGAGAAGGAAAGAACTAAGGGAAATCTTAATGTAAAATTAAAACTGGGCAAATAAATGGGTCATCTCTGAAGGGCTTTTCTGACTTTAGTGTTCCTGCTGTAGTATTCTGGGACAAGGATTCATTCAGTTACGAAGATGGGATCACTTTTTCTAACTTCAGTGTTTATTTTATTGCAGAAAATAAGGCAGTTGGAGTCATGAAGCCAGGTCATGTGTTTACAATTGAACCAATGATCTGTGAAGGTGAGCAATTTGGCAATAGATTAAACATATTAAGTAGCGATGGAATCGGATGCTGATTCTATTCTGTATAGTTGATAGATTTTTCATTTCCCATTGAGGAACTGATATCTGTTACTTAAAAATAGTCAGAAAGCCATCATTTATGTTTTTAGGTGGTTGGCAAGATGAAACATGGCCTGATGGTTGGACTGCGGTAACAAGAGATGGAAAGCGATCTGCCCAGTTTGAACACACGCTTCTGGTCACCGATACAGGCTGTGAGATCTTGACCCGGCGACTGGATAGCATTCGTCCCCATTTCATGACACAGTGATAGTCTAGACTGAGCAGGTGGATCCGAACAATTTTTTTTTTTTTTGTCCTTGTCTCTGTACTATGCATTTTTTTTTTAAGAGTACAGAATAGAGAGATTTCATCATTTACTTTGTTCTCAGTGATTGTAGGTAAGAGGACTATCTTGAAGAACCTGACCCAATGTCTGGAAAAGCAGAGAAGAATTTAAAGGATTTCCTGCTTTCCTCCTACCTACAACACTCATGCTATATTCTTCTTTTTCTTCAATTATCTCTTTAGTACCTTTCTTCCAATTAGACCCACAATTGCTTCTGTTGTTGCCATGATATTAGCTTGAAAAGTGTGGGTAACCTTTCCCACTGGGACTTGATATTTTGGGATCCAGGGTGATTTTTTTCACCACTTCAGTGGGCCCTGTCACTCTTTGTGAGTGGCACCTGAGATTTTAAGCATTTCTAGTTCCAAAGACTTGCTCCTGCTTCTGCAGATACTGTTCTAATGGGCTGGGCCTTGTTTGTTTATCAGTTGAGAAGTGGGTAGAAGGGAGAAGGACATGCATGTTACAAAGAATAGGCTACCCTTACCTTTAATTCTGTCCCCGTCTCTCTGCTGATGGCCTCTGTGGTGATTGCAACTGTAGGTGACAACACTGTGTTAATGGCAGGGCTTGTATCTCATGCTGGAGATTTGATGGTATGGGCTTCCTACGGGGAAAATCAATAAATTTTGTCTTATATGCAGCTCCCTGGAATAAGCTGCTTCTCGGCAAAGCAGTATTTATTTGCAGGTAGTCTCCTGCTCCAAAAGCTTGGTGAAGCTGATGTATCAGAGTTGCCTAGGTAAAGGAATGAAACAAGAACCAAAAAGATCCCGTGATTCATGGGATCCCTGTGTGTACTAACTGTGGGACATTTTTAAAGGTACATCCACAGTAGCTATTTGGTATTGGATTTGCAAGACTTATGAGTGAAAATATCTCAAAACAAGTCTGAATGTGAGAAAATGAAACGCCTTCAATGCTGTGTTCATTTTCTTTTGGTAATTTTTAAACAGATCATATTTTTCCCCCTCAGTTAAGTGAGTTTCATGCTTTTGGAAAGTCTTACAGGGGCAGCTATGAGAACTTTTCTGCTCAGGCTGGGTGTAGAGTGGGCAATGCTAATATATATACTCCTTTATTTTCTGTTAATGGGTCATGATGAGCTGGAAACTCATGTTAAGGAGTGTGGATTGATTTAAGTCTCTCTCTTCTCTACCCTTTCTTTTCCCATGCCCACTTCCTTTCCATCATATTTGGTGTCTCTGCTGAGGGAATTTATTTTTTGTTCTGAATTGTAATGAAAAATTTTTCAGACTCCATTGCAGACTTAGTCTTATACCACTGTAATGCAAGAAATAGTTAAACCAATGCAGATATTAAATCATACAATCATGGGCATAAAATACACCTTTTACAAGGTGTCTGGTGAATTTGTTGCCACATTAGACCCAAGCATATGAGAGGTACTGCATACCCTTGGCTCCCCTTGGCACTGCAGAATTTAGGTGGGGGAAAGGGGTTAGTGCTTCATAGTACTGGACTCGTGTGTACTTACCAAATACCAAATTTGCCAGAAAATGTCTTCTCTGCCCTGAGTGCCTCAGACCTCTGTTGCTCTAAGAGTATCACTGCGATGTTTTCATTACCTTTATTATTGTTTTTAATTATGCAGTAAAGTGACCTGAAATGATGCAGATAGAGCGAGTGTGCGTGCGTATGCGTGTGTGTGTGTGTAGGTTTTAACAAAACAGACTAGTACTTGAGTGGAATTACCTGTGTTGAATGAGATATAATGTATTGAAAAGATGACTGTCCTGGAGGTTTGCCCACCATATCATTCACTTGAATGGTTACAACGGTCTTGCCTTTTCTATATGTGTGTGTATGATGGGGG